CTCTAATTTATTGAGGTACAGAGATATACAAACGAATTAAAACTAGTAAAAGAGTTTTACAGGTTTCAGGGACCATGTCGGAGACATAACAGAAGCTGCGAGTTTGCCACCCGGGCTTTTGAACTGTCAGTGGTTCACCACTACAAAGTGAAAAAGAAGGGATGCTAAATGGAGACAATACCAGCTCAGTGGGAAAACAAGGGAAAATAGTTTATATGCTGGACTAAAAGGTTACAAAATTTAGAAAGCAACTGTCACGTAGTTTTACTATTAAGCTGGTAGTTGATAAGTGAATGGTTACCAAGAATAATAGAAGAGCAAATAACCCTGCCAACAACAATACCAGAACATTAAAAGAAAATATTTACCGAAGTGCCTGAGCTATGAAATTGCTGACAACGCGTCCAACATCGATGTTCATCCGCGGCCCATACGTGTTGAAGATTCTAGCAATACGAATCTCTAAGTAAGTGATAAAACGACACTGTGAAGAATAATAATGATAGGATAACTTGGTATAGGCAAACCAAGGAAATTTTACCTATCCCATGTTGTCTATGATTAGTGTCTAAGCCTCAAGCTTCCCTTCATCATAGCAGCTCCGAACCTCTAAGTAGTGCTTTCATAACATTAAACATCCGACCAACCCCTATAAGAATTAATATGTCTTCTACAGAAGATATTCTATCTTCACAAGTACAGAAGTTTCAATCAAATACTATCTGGCGAGACGAGTGAATTCATAAAAATAGCTTAGACTTCAATTGAAGAAACTTACCAATTGGATTAGCGTTGCCCCAGTATGTTTCTAGTTGTGGATGGGTAAGGGGATCTCCGTATACCTCTGAAGTTGATGTGAGCAAGATCCTGTTCCAAAAAAATCCCAGTTAAGTAGAGCCAATGTAGAAGGTTAATTAAGTTATTTATAATGAACAGCATTCCCTAACCTTGCTCCGACTCGCTTGGCAAGTCCCAGAATGTTTAGTGTGCCAATGACACTTGTCTTTATTGTCTATGGAAAATATGGAAATATAAAGTAAAATTCAAGGAGTGCTCACAAATATTTCATAAAACAATCGAAACACAGTAACACGGACCTTCACTGGATTGTATTTGTAGAAAATCGGAGAAGCCGGGCACGCAAGGTGGTAAATCCGATCAACCTCAACAAAAAACGGCTGTGTAACATCTGCAGAGAAGAAAAAAGTTCGATTAACTTACCAAAATAATTTGTTATATCAGCCAATGAACTTATCTATCAGTTCAAGTCTAAGCACAGATGGTTAGAAACCATAAGAAGTTACCATGACGAATAAGCTCGGATCTTGGATGATCTTTCCACTTCTTAAGATTGTCCTTTGATCCAGTGAAGTAATTATCGACAACAATCACCTAGTATAATCGTGTAGAATGCATGGGTCAAATAATCGTATTAACTCGGTTGGATGTGATAAGAAAATTTACCAAACTCATTTTTCTCATTTTCCATCAGTTTGTCAACTAAATGAGAACCAATGAAACCTCCTCCGGTAACCAAGATCCTCATGTTGGCCTGTCGTTAACAGTAAAAGATAACATTAGAGATATAAATGAAACGTTTAAAGAAAACATCACGGTCACTTGCAACCAATTAATACAGAGACAGAAAGGTGCAATAACATGATAAAGAATACCAACATTTTAGTATTGAAGTAAATGCCGAAAAACACACCTGGAAAAACTTGGAAAAGCGCAATGGAGATGGCAAAGGTGGTGGCTTTGTGGTTGTTTGTCGTTCCCCATTTGATGAATCTGTCGCCATTGTTCAGATCTCGCGTTTTTAACTCAATTACCTGTCAAAGAATGGGGGGCTGATTGAGGAAAAAAGACCAAAAAAAATAACTGAAACATGGACTTTTTTCATGGATTTGAAGGGGAAAAGTATTGATTTTTTAGATCAGAGATTTAAATAGAAGACCTGATTAAAAATTCGATGAAAAAAATCAAACAAAACTATTGACGTGAGATTGATCTCTTACATACACAAAAATAGCCTTACTTATAGCCTAAAGAATGGTTCCATAATTCGAAACTTCATCCCCCCAAATAAAATTTTTAAAAATAAAAAATTGCTAAATCAGAAATCGAAAGCTTTCAATGATGGATACTCGATAACATTCATAAAAAATACATATCACAAACCAAGAAGAATTAAAACCCCAGATTTTAATCTTTAAATTTTCGATCTTAAGTACCTAAAATAAACGAGATTGAAGGGTGGGGATTTGGTTTTTTGAGGTTAATCATAAATACTCTGCTTAGGTAGGTAAATTTGAAGTGTGTTTGAGGAGCATAATTAAGGGAGATTAATATGAATTATAATTATCAGTGTAACTAATGGCGGATTCTTTTCGTTTGCGTTTTCAAGACAGAAATACATGTCTTTCTTTCTTTTCCTTGTTACGTTGGTTGTCTCTCGTAAGTTGTACTTGAAAGCTTACGTACGTATCTGGTCGCTCCCACGTGTATACATCTCAATATTTAACATCAAGAAAATGATAACTGAAAAGTATCTTTAATTTTGATATTTCTGCTACACTTATGCTAACAATAGTATTAAGAGAAAATAATTTCAGTGACCGAAAAATATCTTATAGTATATAATTTTAACTAATATTTTTTTGGATTTGCAAAAATAACCAATAAATTCGTAACGCGAACTCCAGTTTCGCAACACAGTTTTTAAATTCGCAACGCGATTCTCTAAAATCGCAATGCGAATTTCGTTTTCGTAACGCTAATTATCGATATAGGTAAACACAACTAATTGTAACTCAGTTTTCAAATTCGCAACGCGATTCTCCAAAATCGCAACGCGAATTTCGTTTCCGCAACGCTAATTACCGATATAGGTAAACACAACTATTCGCAACTCAGTTTTCAATTTCACAACGTTAATTACTGATATAGGTAAACACAACTCAGTTTTCAAATTGTCGAAATCGGATTTTTACCGGATTTTTTCTACCGAGTTTACTTATATCGGTAATTTAGTTGCGAAATTAACGAATTCAAGTTGCGAAATTCGCGTTGTGAAAACAAAATTCGTGTTGCGATTGCGAATAGTTGTGTTTACCTATATCGGCAATTAGCGTTGCGAATTTAAAAACTGAGTTGCATGTTTACCTATTATATCAGTAATTAGCGTTGCGAATTTGAAAACTGTGTTGCGAAAACTTGTGTTCGCGTTACGAATTTGTTGATTATTTTTACAAATCCAAAAATTTGATTAAAATCATATATTATAAGGTATTTTCGGACATTGAACTTATTTTCTCTAGTCTTAATCCACACGATATTTTACGTTAGGGACGTAGCCAGATCTGTTGATTTCTATGCAAAAGCCTTTGGTTACAATGTTGGATGGGTATTAGGATTATCAGGTGGAAAGCTCATTAGTCCTTATTTATGGCATTGAAAAATCCCCCATCACTGAAATTGAAATGCGTTAACGATTCAGATAAATTTCAACTTGCAGGTTTATTGAATATGACTCACGAAAATATGTGGACACAACTCCCTATTTGGATAAAACTAATTTGAATGGCCTAAACTGGATCAATTTAAAGACCCGGTAGGAAGACCTTCAGATCAACCCCGGCATTTATATCAATGTAATTTAAAGACCCAAAATCTTGTTGACCATCGACCACAACGTTGGAGTAAATAAACATAGCGTTCGATGAACTATTTATATAACGTTCGATTATGTTCGTTTGTTAATTTAAATAAACGAGTATGAACAAACTTTTTTAAGTTCATTTAATTGACGAACGGACACGAATAAAAGTGTATTTGATTCGTTTATATTCACGAACAAGTTTATTTTCCCACTCGTTCATTTATATTTATGAACAAGTTTGTTTATCCAGTTCTCCTTTTTCTTTTTTTACATTTTAAATATTGATGAAGGTAGGAAACTAAATTAAACACATAGTAAAAATAAAAATTTAAACTGTGAATTTTAAGGACTTTAAGCACTAGTGTCATAATTTTACTATTTTTCTTTAGCTTGCAAATGAAAATGTAAAACTAAAAATTGAACATATAAAGAAACAATAAACGAACACTTAACAAACATTAAATTAACACTAAACGAACATGTTCATGAAAAACGTGGACATATAAACGAACAAGTTTACGAACATTAAACGAACGAACACAAACATCTTCAAAAATAAATAAACGAACACAAATGAAATCTCATAAAATGACAATTGTTTTGTTTTAAAGGAATGGGTCCTCCAACTTAGTATAGGAATCAAACGACGTTTTGTTTTGCATCTATGATTAACATTTCGTGATTGATTTATTATAATTGATAACGATCAAATAATTAATTTTAGAATTTTAATGAAAAAATTTATTCAAACATAGTGATCATTTATGTAATTTACCCTTAGAAAATGAAAATAATTATTTGATAAATAAATAACATGACATATATTTATGGGTGGATAAGGAAATTGGGATAGAGGCTTTTGTTCAGGCTAAAAACATGATTCACCAAACACAAGTACATGGCAAAATATACATTTTATTGCTTTTGCATTTGGGTGATTAGCCCATTTATCTCAAAAAAATATCTATTCAACAATGTTTAAAGTTGTGAGCCTAAAAATGCTTTTTTGGAAAGTAACGAACGATGAAAGCTACTTGAAAAATGAGTGTTTTGAAATTCAAATGATGGGTGATGCTCTTATCTGCCTCTTACTGTTTCCACCGTCTCCTTTTCAGAGATTCGCGTCCCTCCTCCCAGTACCAACGTCAAAATAAACAAGCCATTACAGATATTTCACACGACTCACGGGCCCAAACGTTTAATAATACATCCTATTTGTCGTCATTATCATTTAAAAATATCCTTTTTACTTTCTTGAATAAAAATTCAAAAAATCAAACAGCTATCTCTTCTTTTTATAATAGAAAATTATGAAACGTCCCAAAAAGAAAGAGGAAAATGGAAAACGAACAACATTTATTTGGTCTAAACATGAACACTTACAGCTCAACACCATTAATGCTTCAATCCCAACTTAGGAACACATACCAAACCTCTAACACAGCACTACAAGAAAAACCCTAGTGGCAGAAGATAACCTTAAGCTCACGTGGGGAAGCACAGTCGTGCATGAGCGAAGGGCTATCATGGGCATAAGTAAACGTGGCTGGACAAGCATGCTTGAAAAACTGTGTAAAGCTATTAGCCCTACAGGTTTGAGGGCTATTGTAATGGTTCCTACAACAAAGCTCGTCAGTACCGAAGGCAGCACATCCACTCTTACAACCCACCACCGGACCATGACCCGCCGGCGATCTATACTGTAACCTGTCGGGACACGTCGCCAGAATGTTAGCCCTGCACCCAACGACGGGACAAAGGCCTTTGCCTTCGTGTGGGGTCACTGTCATGGGGATATTAAAACCGTCCACGAGGCTGACTTCGTAGGAAGAGAGGTCTTTGTGGCCACCGTGGTGGAGGCTGAACTGTGCCAGTGTGACGGGGGTGGCTCCACCGAGGCCGTTGCACTCAATGCGGTTGCCACAATCTCCCGTTTGACAGGAGAAACGTCCGTTGGGGTAGGTGCAGCCGGTTCGAGCCCAGATACGACCGGACCAGTGGGCTGTGGGTGCGGGGAAGGAACGGTGCGTGAGGGTGTGAAGGGCGAAACCGCCTCGTTCAAGGACAGGGTGGCCGGCGTTGGGTTGGATAGCGGGATAAATGGTGAAAGGGCAGTTGTTAACGACAGTTAAAATGATACCGGGGTGAGTAGCTGAACCAAAGCTGCATAAAACAGATATGGCAGCTAGAATCAATAAAGAAGAACATAGAGATGATGCCATTTTTGAGACGACTGAAGGGATGGGTATTAGGCAAGTTCTGGCTTGGTTCTTATAGAAAGTGAAGAACAGTGTAGTCTAGCAGAAAGACTGAAATACCCTTTCCCTTTTGGGGGGGGGGGGTTCAACTTTTTAATACTTTAAACTTTATTTTATGATCGTGCTCACCGACTGAGTCGATAGCTGCAAAAATAATGTCAGAAACCAGAGGATAGGACGACAGATTGAGACCAACTTTTTTTCATTACGAACTCAATCGGAAGATTATGAGGAAAGAGGGGGAACGGTCCATTTAAGACGAAACACATTGGAAAAAGAAAAAAGAAAAAAGAAAAAAAAAATTAAGATGACAAGGAGTTTATCCGAAAAATCTCCTTTTCTATTTAATATTTTTGATTAAATACCATTTAAATTATATTTTTTGATTTAATATCTTTTTATAAAAAGACACATCTTATATAACGCATTTAATATTGATTTGGCGTCTCGTAAGACGCGTCTTATGCTGACATTGGATATACGTGTGTATAGTACGGCCCCTGGGGTGTGCCTTAGGCCACGTAAGGTATAACGCAGAGCAGGGGCCACGTCTTAGCTTTATCTGATATAATTATATAAGGCGCGATGCAGATACCACGTCTTGTATAATTATAATAACTTTTTTCGGCTATAAATACCCTCTCCTGGAACTCCTCACATCTCCTCTCAACAGAAAAAAATTAATACAACAATCCGACAATCATCTCATATTTGAATCAGAAATTCGTTCGATTTTTCGTTATAAGGTAATTTTGTTATAATTTTTTTATTATATTTATTGTTTATTATGATTATATGAAAAAATATTATACTTATTGTTGTCGATTAATTTATGTGTTTGTAAAATTAGAAAGCGGAGCATACGTCGAAATAGTTTTACGGTGCAGATAATAATATAAAATTATATTATTTAAATTATTTACGTTTATGTGTAAAAAATTTATTGTGTTATATTTTCGTTCATATATTATTTATTTAATTAGGCTTGTTTCAGTTGTTTTTTTTTTGCAAATATAATATTGTCACACTTTTAAATTTAAAGAACAGCGCGAGTTTCAGCTATTGTTTATTAAAATGGTGGAATTCGAGAAGATGAAATCGGCGTTGTTTTCGTATCAAATGAGCGTGTTAAAATATCATTCAAGAGAAACATAACTCTTGAGGAGCTGATAACGAAGATTTAGAGAAAAATTCATGTTGAAAGTAGTAGAAGAATGTCGTCGTTGCAATACAGATTTCCAACATCATTGTTGTCATTAACTTATACAACGTTCAAACTTTCGAACAATGATGATGTTGAAATGAAGGTTGAAGCTCAAAGTAATTATTCAAACGCCGATATTGAGATGTATGCAAATTTTGTTCAAGTGTGTGTTGTTCGGGAACAATCATTAAGCTCCCACTATGGGCTGGCTGAACAAGTTAACAGTCCGACGACATTAATGCGTAATGATTTTAATGCCATAATGGGGAGACATTCATCCGTAACTCCTTACGATATGTACCGAGGTGGGTCGACGAACAATCTGTATGGCAACATCGCGTCCAGTTCAAGGGGGAGACATTCATCTGCAAATCTCTTTGACCTTAATATGGAGATGCCATCGACGCAACAATCTGTGCAGTTTTTATTTGACACGATGGCTTCAAGCTCCAAGGAGAGGCATTCGACTGCGAGTTTTTTCAATCTCAATGTCGATATTCCTTACAGTTCAAGGGGAAGGAGTGCAAGTAGTAGGTTCTTCGACCTAAATGTGGAGAGCATTGAGGAACCATCATCTCCACCAAAAGAACCGCTTCGTGAGCCTGGTGCGGATGGTGCTGAGACTTGACTATTCATTCACCCAGAATCACCGCAATTCAACTCCGATGATGATGATGATGATGTAGATGAAGTTCCAGGAAATGTGGCACAAACTGACCCTCCAGCACATATGTATGAAGCTGATTATGGTGCAATGTACGGGCCATAATTTGCAGATATGCCTTATCTCGGTGACTATGGATATTACTCATCAATAAATAATGGTGAGTTATCTTTAGGCATGGAGTTTTCAAGCAAAGAAGAAGCGATGATGGCTATAAAAAATTACAATATTCGTAATTCTGTTCAATCCAGAGTCGTCTGCTGCACGACAGAAAAATATGTATTTCACTGTGCCTGACGTAAAAACGGATGCAATTAGATGATTCGCGTATCGAAGAGGAAGAGGAAAAACAACAGATGAGAACTAACAGTATACAACGGTCCTCACATATGTTGTGCTGGAGGGGTCTACCAAGATCATCCCAACTTGTACTCTGAAATGATATGCCAAACCATCATGCCCATGGTAAAAGCAAGCTCTCATATAGCTATTGATGTGTTGATTTCAGCTATACAATCGTAGTATGGGTATATTGTCTCCTACAAAAAAACTTGGTTGGCAAAAAAAATGACATTGTCAAACTTCATGGCGAATGGGATGCATCTTACAACGAACTTCCAATTTGGTTTAGGCTGGTGCGGAGGTTGAATCTTGTGACAATTGTGGACTTCGAAACCTCCTATGCATACCATAATGATCGAGTTATTCGCGATCGATGCCAATTCTACCGGGTTTTTTAGACTTACCCACAGTGCGTTAATGCTGTCAAATACTGCAAGCCTGTGGTCTAGATCGCCGGAACTTTCTTGTATGAAAAATACAAGCAAGCTTTATTATTGGCAGTTGTCTAAGATGGCAATTGCAATATTCTTCCAGTTGTGTTTGCTCTTGTCGAAGGAGAAGATACAGATTCTTGGGCTTTTTCCTCCGAAATTTACGTGCACATGTTATCACGAGGGAAAACATCTGTGTCATTTTAGATCGCGGAGCTGGGATCAAAGCAGCAATGGAGTCTTTGGGTCCAATGTGGCAACCACCCTTTGTCCAACATAGGCATTGTCTCCGACACATTGTTGCGAACTACCATGGAATGTATAAGAAGAATGATGAGCGTTAATTAATTGTGTGCATGGGTAAGTGAAACTGATGTAGTTTGTTTTCTTTCGATCCTTTTAATTTTGAAAAGAAAGCAAGTTAATAAGTTATACATTTATTTATCAGGTTACAAACTACTTCCTCGAACATTTGAATCAATGCTTCAAGATTTACGGGTGAAGAACGAGGAATGATATGATTACATCAGCCTCATCGATAAAGAAATGTGGACGAACGCATATAATGGTGGATATCGATATGGACACATGACGACCAACTTGGCAGAGACAATAAATTAAACCTTAAAGGGTGCACGACACTTACCAGTAGCGGCTTTGGTAAAGACTACATATTTTTGTTTAGGGACGTTTTTTGTGAAGCTCGGGGGACAAGCTCAAATCTAGATGCAAGGCGGTCATGTCTATCACCCTAAATTAGTTACAGATATACAGAAAAAAATTATACATCAAATGGAATGTATGTAACAAACTTCTCTAGAAGGCATGAAATGTTTCGAGTCACAGAGTTGCCGCGACTTCTTCAAGGGATTGAAGTTGTGTCGTTAAGAGTAAATCTAAGGGACAAAACGTGCGACTGCAGGTTTTTTCAAGCTCTGAAGTATCCATGCTCTCATGTGATAGCAGCTTGCTCGTATACACATCAAGACTATAACCATTTTGTGGATCCCGTATACCTACTATTTGAAGTTTTTAAGGTATACGAATTTGAGTTTCCCCCATAGGTAATGACAAAGACCCTGATGATGTTCAAGATTGGCTTCCGATTGTACCAAATCTGAGTTTATTGAGGGAGCGTGGTCGTCCAAAATCCAATCGAATCCATTGCGATATAGATATTCGAGAAAGATCTAGACAAGACAGAAGATGTGGGCATTGTAGAAACCCATGACACACTAGAAAAACATGTCCACTTCTGTTGTCATCAAGTAACAATTGATGAGGAAATAATGTGGTTGTTTCTCAAATAATAATTCTTGTACTTTAATTTGCATTTACTTCAAGTTAATGTTATTCGATAACCGCTGATGAAGATTAAAAAAACGATATAATTATACGAGATTAGACGTTGGCGTTATATAATTGATATTAACGATACAATAAGTATTAAATGATAAATGATAACCAAATTACAATAACTTATATTAAATGGTACTACACAAATTTAAGCAAAATAAATTAACAAAAAGTCCAACAAATTTAACAAAATAAATTAAAATCAATCCAACCATATTAACGAATTAAAGTAAGTATTAAATGATAAATAAAAAAATACAATAAAAAAGTCCAATAAATAACTACAATAAAAAGTACTAAATACAAATATAATAAAATACAAAATCTATCGATGCCTGCGACGCGAATGTGTTCCGCAGGGCGTTGGTTGTCGGTCTCGAGGAGGATTTCTTCGTATCACTGGTTGTGACTCCTTGCTGTCATCATCATCGCTATCGTCGTCGTCGTCGTCCTGAGCAGCTACATTTTGTTGATGAGGAGTTGATGACGATGAAGCACCTCCATAGAATAAGGACCCTCAAGGTGTATGACTGAATATCCCACCGGCCTGCGAAAACTGGAAAAACTCATAAAACCCAAACATCGCTAAGTGTGAAAACTGTATAAGAGGTGTTTGTGCTGCGACCATGGGTGATGAGGCTGAACCCGTCAAATATTTAGCATATGAACCCTAAGTCAGATATGCAAACATAGACCCATAATAGCCTTCAATAGGGGTCATAAAACTCTGTGACGGTGGCGGCGTCGGGGTCATAAAACCAGGTGAAGGCGACATCTGGTAATGCAAAGGCGGTGGCGACATCATATATGGCTGCGGTATGTAAGTCAATGGATACGGTGGGACGAAAGTACCTGCTCTCCGTCCACGAGTCGGGGGACGATGGTGCTGTATCGGTGAACGTCTCTGTCGACGTCGTGGAAAGGTCTACCCTCGTGCATACTCGGGAAGCAGAAATGGTTTCCCGTTACTGTTGAACCACTCATAATAACCGTCAGTAACCATCAAGAGGTCAAGTAAAATGGGCTCTCTACGGGGAAGACGCTAATGTCGATCCTCCCACAACACGACCCACTCATGATGCCTCATCAGCCAATCTGTATCTGTCTTGTCGCGTCTATCTGTGTTATGCAACTCGTCCATATTGCGAGGTGCTTTCGGAATTGGTTGAAAACAACCAAATTGCCGGAGCACGCGATCAGTGGAGTGCCACTCGACGGTCCCATAACAGATCAAAGGAACCATCGCCATCCAAACATCTCATTGACCCCTCAACTTAGGTGGGATCACCGTCCTCACATCATCAGTAGAATATGACACCCATTCAAACTAAAACAAATATATATAATTTTTATCAAATAATAATCTAATTTTATAACTATAATCTAAAATCGATTTTTAAACATTAAAATTCATACATGTGTGCCAGCCTTCTGATCGATTAACACCCTAATTTTTTCTAAATCATTAGGTAGCTCCTGATGATTTTTCCTATCAGTAGACCACCTATTCAAGGAAAACAAATTATTATACGTTGTATCAAATGATTAATATACGAAATCAGTTTTACAATTACCTCAATAGTAGTGGAAATACGAATGGGTTCTTGACAACGGGTCATAAAAAGGGTAATCGATACCATGTCCAAGACTACAACAGCAGGAGACATCCGTCGATAGCATTTCTCTTGTAGTCAATGGTTCGACACATCTCCCTATACAAGAAAGCCAAAACTACCGAGCCCCAACTGAGTGATCCGTCCAGATGAAAGTCGCTAAGATGTCGCAACCACATGCAGTGAACTTGGTTGCGCGATTTGTCCGACATCAGCAACCCTCCTATCAGTTGCAGTATGCATTCCCGTGCATACATTTTAACTTCATCATCAGAGGCGTCCTCGCTCAACTCCTGAAAATTGGCATCTAACCAATTTAACGGTATTCGACCACCGTTAAAATTTTCCGGGACACGTCCTATATTTTCCCGGCACAAAGTAGTCCAGGAACCCTACGCGATCCCTGATATCACATCTCTATCCACCGGAAGCCCCAGGTGCATAGCAACATCCTCAAGTGTAATTGTGCACTCTCCGCACGAAATATGGAATGTGTGGGTCTCCGGCCTCCACCGCTCTACTAAGGCAAAAATAAGGTCTGATTATATCTTACAGTGACCCTGATATCTACCTATGTAACTGAATCCAGTGTCTACTAAATACGACAAGACACGGCTAGGTATCACTAACTTAAGGTTCCTAATAAAAGGATCTAATACACAGTCATTCTCCTAAAATTAAATAATTACAAAAAATAATTCTTAATCTAATAATCATGCATTAAATAAATCAACAAATTATTACTAATAATTTAAATTAAATTAAAACGTTAAAATGTTACCGTATCAGCAAAGTGTCGAGATATATGATTTTCATCCAAGCGAAGTAGACCACCTTCTATTATATATCTACAAAAAAATTATATAAGTAAAATATTAAATAAATTAAATACTTAAATAAATTAAATACAAAATATTAAAAAATATAATAAAATATACGTTAAACAGATAATATAAGAGTATTTGAGAGAAGTTGAGAGAATTTGGTGTGATGAAAGTGATTGAGGATGGGGTATTTTTTTTTAAGGAGAGGATGAGGTATTTATATGGAGGGATTGGGGTGTGAAGTGTCGGGGTAGGTGGGTAATTAAACCTAAGGCGCGCCTTACTGACGTGTGGTAGATTCACAGGTAAGGCACGACTCCTGCCCCACGCTATACCCTACGTGGCCTAAGGCGCGCCCCAGGGGTCGCTCTATACACACGTGTATCTCATGTCAGCATAAAGTGGGCCTTACGAGGCACAGCTTATCCCACGTGACTCCAAATCAATGTTAAACGCTTTGTAAGGGACGCGTCTTTCTGTAAAAGGTGTTAAATCAAAAAATATAGTCTAAACGGTACCTGATCGAAAATATTAAATGAAAAAAAAAGATTTTTTTGAGATAAACACCAATGACAAGCTAAGCGTTAAAGTAATCAACATCGTGTACGAGATCTTTGTCGGTTGGTTTGTATAAAAGAAATTGCCAGAATTTCAAATTTTTTCTTTTTAAAAGAAAAATTAATTTTGTTAACTCCAGTTTAATGAGAACGGAGTTCTAATAAACTTTTTCTTTCGGGGCAATGACACAATAAGAGAGATTTCAACACAAACTGCTAACTGGAGCAAAAACCATGGGGAAAAACTATTTACCTTAAAAAGTACTGAATCATTCACATGTTTGCATGGTTAAAACGTAATGGTTGTATGGTGTCTTTAGCAAGCGTACGGACAATGGCTGATTTTTCTTATAAGGTTAAACACAAATATATTAATAATATAATTTTTTATATATGAGTAAGTACGATAAAATTTTCGAATGAACACAATAAATTTTTAAGTAATTCTGAGACGAAAATTAAAACGGGATTCTAAAGAAGCAAATTAAAACATCAGAGAATTTTAGACATACATGCGCCATTGTGTATGGATCAAGCTGCTATTCGGATGACTTAATGCTAATGTGGATGGGATAGCTCGGGGCATTGATAAGGCTGCTTCTTACGGTGGTGTAATTCGAGAGGTTAACGGTTCTTGAATATTCGATTTCTACGTAATTTGAGACGATGCTTGATTATATAGAAAGAATTATAAACAGTTCATGATATATACCGTATGCATGGAGATTAGATTTCATGAAATTCAGACTAGAGAATATAATGTAGATATCAACAAAATTTCGATCGAAGTAGAAAATATTTCATAGGAATACCATTATAAATTCTGTTAATGAGATTGGGAATATGTTTGGTTTTCTTCAGTCAGACAGGAATCTAAACTAAAAACTTCATTGTCATGATCATGTTGCCATAAGCATGGAGTGCAGACTTAACTTCAGCTTTGTCTAACGATGACTAGCTTTCAATGTCACTATTTGATTCTTTACCGCCGTGGTAAATGACAATTTTAGAAGGTGCATACACGAGTAACATGACAGCAAAAAACAGTACCCCATGGTCACTAATGAAGCCATACAACTCAAATTGCAAGGAAGACTAAAACCTTGCAATCCATGATCTCCCTCTATTTGACAGCTGTCACACGCACATGAATACAAATATGTATATTATGCAGCAAAATTATGAACAAATGATGATAAAACTTAGATGTGGAGATCTCGGGGATGGGTGCTCGAATTCAAACCCAGAGGGAATGAAACGCGATGAAATAAGGTACCTGGGGTGGCTTCACTGAAACATATTTAGAGACAACAAGAAGCACTGGTAAAACGAGGTATGCAGCAGTGTCGTGTCAATGGTGAACGGCCATCCTGCATGACACCTCGTATCAGATATACAGGACTAAAAGCAGAACATGGTCTCTTCGCGTGGTGTATAGAAGCTACTACAATTGCTACTTTTCATCCATGCGAAGCAAAGGTGAAGATGCTACATACTAAAAAGTGGTCTCCCTCCTCGAAGCTGCTAAGAAATACATAATTGCCATATAGGTAAAATGGAAAAAACAGAACTACTCTGTCTATAGCAGCAATTGTAGTTGTCTGTCAATAGTGCCTGCAGTCATTAGCAATGGAAGTTGTTTAACATGTTAAAGATTTATCCTACAACACACAGAATTCCCAAGTTACGCCCACCACTTTGTTACCTCATTTGGCACCTTATTAGACAAACAAAGATAAATGTATTAATTTCACCTTATTAGACTTCGCGAAGCAAAGCGTGAAAACTACCGATCCAATAGGATTATTCAGTCCAACAGCTAGATAGTATAGGAAAATTCCATAACCAATCAGAATAATCCCACCCGCCAAAAGAAAAAGTAGTTTATGTTTCCTTTCAAACGAGTTAGACATATGAGGCGCGTATGGTCCACACGTTACTCTAGATTTCAAAATCCAGAGCTCTGGAACTCCCTAGACACAAGCTTAATTAGTTGACACCCTAGAAAAAAGGGAAGCGGGAGAAAGGAAAATAAATAATTGACAGTTGAATTCATGATCTAACGGTTGAAATTATATCATCAGAACTTTCCAGAAAACGAACTTTCTTTATAAACCCACAAAATTTCTTTTTGTTTTTCATCGAAACGAAATTAGTGAAAAGATTTCTCTTCTCCCAAGTTCCTCAAGACTTCTTAGCTTTTTTTTTTCTAACTCAAAATTCGTGTTTTGTTCTGAGTTTCAATGGCTGGCAAAGGCGAAGGCCCCGCGATTGGTATCGATATCGGCACGACGTACTCGTGTGTCGGTGTTTGGCAACATGATCGTGTGGAGATCATAGCTAATGATCAAGGGAATAGAACGACGCCATCTTACGTTGCTTTTACAGATACCGAACGTTTGATTGGCGACGCTGCTAAGAACCAGGTCGCCATGAATCCTACCAATACTGTTTTCGGTAAGTTCTTATCTACCTTTTGCATTAGTTTAGTTCTTCGCATGTCATTCCATTTTTAACGTTTTACTGATTTTTAGTATATTGTTTTATATATACTCTGTGCATTCATTTGATAATTATAATAGATTTGAGATTTTACTTTTCGCCGTTAATATTTTATAATGTAATGTTGTGGAGATTTTCTTCTTACGATTTAATTGATCAATTCATATTTTCTTTAGTGAAATTCAGTTTTAATTTGTACGTAATTTTAAAGGTTTTAAATTATGTATTAGACTGGTATACTGTTGCGTGCATTTATGCTAATAGTTGATTGGCGCTGCTGTAATAATTTTCTAGATGCTAAGCGTTTGATCGGTAGAAGATACAGCGACCCGTCGGTCCAAAGTGATATGAAATTGTGGCCATTTAAGGTCATTCCTGGGCCGGGAGACAAGCCAATGATCGTCGTCACATACAAAGGCGAAGAGAAGCAATTTGCTGCTGAAGAAATCTCCTCCATGGTCCTGACGAAGATGAAAGAGATTGTCGAGGCTTATCTTGGGTCAACCATTAAAAACGCCGTAGTTACTGTTCCGGCTTACTTCAATGACTCCCAACGTCAAGCTACGAAAGACGCTGGTGTCATTGCTGGCCTCAATGTCATGCGTATAATCAACGAGCCAATCGCTGCAGCCATTGCCTACGGACTTGACAAAAAGGCGGCAAGTTCAGGAGAAAAGAATGTGCTTATTTTTGACTTTGGTGGTGGTACTTTTGATGTATCATTGTTGACAATTGAAGAAGGGATCTTCAAAGTGAAGGCTACTGTCGGAGACACGTATTTGGGAGGTGAAGATTTTGACAACAGAATGGTGAATCATTTTGTGCAGGAGTTTAAGAGGAAGCACAAGAAGGATATTAGTGGGAACCCAAGATCTTTAAGAAGGTTGAGAACAGCTTGTGAAAGAGCTAAGAGGACATTGTCTTCAACTGCTCAAACTACAATTGAGATTGATTCTCTATATGAGGGGATTGATTTTTACACCACAATTACCCGAGCTCGATTCGAGGAGTTGAATATGAATCTTTTTGTTGGATCATAAACTTGATCCATTATGGGAGCCTAAACCCAAACCCAAACTAAATTGATGTCATTACTTACATCATTTAATTAAAGATGTCATTGCTTACATCATTTAAGTAATGATGTCATTGCTTACATCAATTTAGTTAGGTGAGAGTTAGATATTTGTTGAATTTGTAATGGTTTAAATTAGTTTATTTGTGTGGTGTATGATTGTTCTTGAGTAGTATAAATACCCCTTCCTATTTTAGTTTTAAGAATCAAGAAAAATTAAGAGCTTCTAAGTGAGTGAAGAAGCAAAGTCTTATAAGAGTGAGTTGTAGTTCTTGTTTTTGAGTGAGAGTGCTCTTATAATATTTGTTTGAGTTTCAATAAAAGTTGTTTGTGTGAGTGTTTTATTTCCAACAAAGTGGTATCAGAGCGAGTTGGAAAGATCGAAGGTCTCGACGAGAGGAATCCGACGCCGTCAGAATTTTCTCAATCTGTGTTCTGACGCACCGTCACGCATCGCCGGAATACTGCTGCCAGAAAATCGAGTTGACTCACCGAGTTGAGTCGAGTCAACCGAGTTGGAGCCCTTGACCGAGTTGTCCAAGTCCCTCCAAAGTTTTTTTCAGCATTCCGGATTCATCCGTGCAATCGGATTTTACAAAATCTCATTATATTGAGAGATATGGCAAATGGTATGGCACCATTCCAAGTTCCGACACTCAACAACAACTACGACAATTGGAGTATCAAAATAAAGGCACTTCTTGGATCACAAGATGTGTGAGATATCATAGAGAAAGGCTATAACGAGCCTGCGGATGATGATGCTTTTGCTACTCTTACACCAGGTCAAAAGACAACTTTGAAGGATTCAAGAAAAAGAGACAAGAAGGCTCTCTACCTCATCTATCAAGCATTAGATGATGATGGTTTTGAAAAGATTTCAAGTGCAAGCTCTAGCAAGGAAGCGTGGGAGAAGCTGCAAACCTCTTACAAAGGATCCGAGCAAGTGAAGAAGGTTCGTCTCCAAACATTAAGAGGTGAATTCGAATCCTTAAACATGAAAGCATCTAAGTCTATTTCAGATTATTTCTCAAGAGTAGTAGATGTTTCTAATCAATTAAAAAGAAATGGTGAAAAGTTAGACGATGTGAGGATAATAGAGAAGATACTCCATTCGTTGGATCCCAAATTTGAGCACATCGTCGTGACGATTGAAGAAACTAAAGACTTGGAAGAAATGACGATCGAGCAACTCCAAAGATCATTGCAAGCATACGAAGAGAAGCATAAGAAGAAGCATGAGTTTACTGAGCAACTCCTCAAGCTACAACTCAAGGATATGCATAAAAGCCAACGCAATGATAGAAACCAACGTGGCAAAGGCAGAGGTAGAGGCCATGGATGAGGTGGAAGTCGAGGTCGTGGACGAGGCTGGAATTACAACAACAACAATTCCAGCAACAACTATGAGAAAGGAGAAAGCTCAACACGAGGCCGTGAAAGAATCAATTCGAACTCAAGGCATGACAAATCTCAAGTTCGATGTTATAATTGTCAAAAGTTTGGGCATTATGCTTCAGAATGTAGAGCTCCCAACAACAAAATTGAGGAGAAGGCTAACTACGTGGAGGAAAAGACAGATGGCAAAGAAACTCTTCTTCTAGCATGAAAGGAAACTGATGGTGGACAAGCAAATTTCTGGTATCTTGACAGTGGTGCAAGCAATCACATGTGTGGAAGGAAAGACATGTTCGTGGAGCTAGACGAGTCAGTAAGCGAAAATGTTTCGTTTGGAGATGATTCCACAATAGCAGTGAAATGGAGAGGTAACATTCTTATCCGTTTGAAATATGGGAGGCATCAATTTATTTCAAATGTCTACTATGTGCCCAATATGAAAAGTAACATCTTAAGTTTAGGGTAACTGGTAGAGAAAGGTTATGATATTCACATGAATAATTATAATCTTTCTATAAAAGATTATAAGAATAATTTCATTGCTAAACTGCCGATGTCAAAGAATAGAATATTCTTGATCAACATACAAAATGATGTTGCAAAGTGCCTGAAAGCTTGCTATAAAGATGCATCATGGCTTTGGCATATTCGATTTGGGCATCTCAATTTTGGAGGTCTAGAACTGCTATCTAAGAAGGAGATGGTGAAGGGAATACCTCGCATCAACCATCCTGACCAGCTTTGTGAAGGGTGTCTAGCTGGGAAACAATTTAGGAAAAGCTTTTCAAAAGAGTCAGAGACAAGAGCCAAGAAGCCACTCGATCTCATCCATACCGATGTGTGTGGACCGATCAAGCCGAGCTCTCTCGGTAACAGTAACTATTTTCTTCTCTTCATTGATGATTTTTCAAGAAAAACCTGGGTATATTTCTTGAAATAGAAGTCAGAAGTTTTTGAAGTCTTCAAGAAGTTCAAAGCAGCAGTGGAGAGAGAAAGCGGTAGAAAGATCAAAGCCATGAGATCTGATCGAGGTGGAGAATTTACTTCCAGGGAGTTTCAAGAGTTCTGTGAAGCAAATGAAATTCGTCGACCAATGACAGTTCCTAGATCCCCCCAGCAAAATGGTGTGGCAGAAAGAAAGAACAGAACAATCCTCGACATGGCACGAAGCATGCTCAAAAGCAAGAAACTACCTAAGGAATTTTGGGCGGAGGCAGTAGCGTGTACAGTCTACTTGACAAATCGATCTCCAACAAGAAGTATATGGGGAAAGACACCGCAAGAAGCATGGAGTGGAAGAAAGCCTGGCATTTCCCATTTGAAAACCTTTGGAAGTATAGCCCATGTTCACGTACCAGACGAGAGAAGAACGAAGCTTGATGATAAAAGCGAGAGTTTTATCTTCATCGACTATGATGCTAATTCGAAGGGCTACAAGTTGTACAATCCAAACAATAAGAAGTTTGTGATTAGTCGAGATGTGTTCTTCAACGAAGAAGGAGAATGAGATTTTAACTCTCATACAGATGACTTCAATTTCTTTCCTCAGTTTGAAGAAGATGAGCAGACAATGAGGGAACAACTAGATGAATCTCAACAAGAGCTTGCAACTCCACCCACTTCACCAACATCAACCACTCAAGGAGACTCATCACCTTCATCATCGTCAAGTGGGAGTCAAAGTGAAAGAGTTGTGCAACGCACAAGAAGCCTTAGAGATCTCTATGAGGTAACTGAACGACAAGATAATCTTACATTATTTTGTCTGTTTGCTGATTGTGAACCAGTGAGCTTTCAAGAAGCGGTAGAAGAAAAGAAATGGAGAGATGCGATAGATGAAGAAATCAAGGCTATCGAGAAGAATGACACATGGGAACTTACCTCACTTCCCAAGGGACATAAGGCGATAGGTGTCAAATGAGTGTACAAAACAAAGCAAAACGCCAAAGGAGAGATTGAAAGGCACAAGGCGAGGCTAGTTGCTAACGGTTATAGTCAAAAGGCTAGAATTGACTATGATGAGGTATTTGCTCCTGTTGCTCGATTGGAGACTATCAGACTAATCATTTCTTTGGCAGCTCAAAACAAGTGGAAGATACAACAGATGGATGTAAAGTCTGCCTTCCTAAATGGAGTTCTTGAAGAGGAAGTTTACATTCAGCAACCATCAGGCTATGAAGTCAAAGGGCACGAAGACAAGGTGTTGAAGTTGAAGAAGGCTCTTTACGGGCTAAAACAAGCACCAAGGGCATGGAATAGCCGAATCGACAAGTACTTCCAAGAGAATGGCTTCAACAAATGTCCCTACGAGCATGCTCTATATATCAAGATCAAAGATGAAGATATTTTGATCGTGTGTCTCTATGTGGACGATTTGATCTTCACTGGAAGCAATCCAAGCATGTTTAAAGAATTCAAGGATGTGATGATGAAAGAATTCTAGATGACAGACATGGGGCTCATGGCGTACTACCTTGGCATTGAAGTTAAGCAACAAAATGATGGAATTTTCATTTCACAGGAAAGCTATGCAAAGGAGATACTGAAGAAGTTCAAGATGGAGAACTGTAAGCCAATAAGCACACCGGTAGAATACGGGATCAAGATGACCAAACATGAAGAAGGCGAAAGTGTAGATCCAACATTCTTCAAAAGTTTGGTAGGAAGTCTACGCTATCTAACTTGCACGAGACCCGATATTCTTCATGCAGTTGGATTGGTTAGTCACTATATGGAATCTCCAACAACCACCATTTTAAAGCCACAAAGAGAATTCTTCGCTATTTGAAAGGTACAATTGACTTTGGCTTGTTCTATTAAGTTTCTAACGATTACAAGCTTGTTGGATATAGCGACAGTGATTGGGGTGGAGACATAGATAATCGAATGAGCACTACTGGATTCGTATTTTTCATGGGAGATATTGCGTTCACATGGATGTCAAAGAAACAACCGATTGTCACATTGTCCACTTGTGAAGCGGAATATGTTGCTGCTACCTCATGCGTTTGTCATGCAATTTGGCTTATAAATATATTAAAGTAGATAGGTTTGATATAAGAAGAGCCTACCAAGGTTTGTGTCGATAACAAGTCAGCCATTGCCTTAGCGAAGAATCCAGTATTCCATGATCGAAGCAAGCACATTGATATTCGCTACCACTATATAAGGGAGTGTGTTGCTAGAAAAGATGTGGAAGTTGAATACGTGAAGTCACAAGATCAAGTTGCTGATATTTTTACCAAGCCACTGACCATCGAAGAGTTCTTAAGATTAAGGAACCTACTAGGGGTCACGAGATCAAGTTTAAGGGGGGGGTGTTGGATCATAAACTTGATCCATTATGGGAGCCTAAACCCAAACCCAAACTAAATTGATGTCATTACTTACATCATTTAATTAAAGATGTCATTGCTTACATCATTTAAGTAATGATGTCATTGCTTACATCAATTTAGTTAGGTGAGAGTTAGATATTTGTTGAATTTGTAATGGTTTAAATTAGTTTATTTGTGTGGTGTAGGATTGTTCTTGAGCAGTATAAATACCCCTTCCTATTTTAGTTTTAAGAATCAAGAAAAATTAAGAGCTTCTAAGTGAGTGAAGAAGCAAAGTCTTATAAGAGTGAGTTGTAGTTCTTGTTTTTGAGTGAGAGTGCTCTTGTAATATTTGTTTGAGTTTCAATAAAAGTTGTTTGTGTGAGTGTTTTATTTCCAACACTTTTTAGGAAATGTATGGAGCCGGTAGAGAAATGCTTGAGAGATGCTAAGATGGACAAAAGCAGTGTTCATGATGTGGTTCTTATTGGCGGGTCTACTAGGATCCCTAAAGTTCAGCAATTATTGCGAGACTTTTTCAATGGAAAAGAGCTATGCAAGAGCATTAACCCCGATGAAGCTGTTGCTTATGGAGCTGCTGTACAAGCTACAATTTTGAGTGGTGAGGGTAACAAGAAGGTTCAAGATTTGTTGCTTTTGGATGTCACTCCACTTTCCCTAGGTCTGGAAACCGCATGTGGAGTCATGATTGTGTTGATTCCAAGAAATACCATAATCCCAACAAAAAAGGAACAAGTTTTCTCTACTTACTCGGATAACCAACCCGGAGTTTTGATTCAGGTTTACGAGGGTAAGAGAACTAGAACCAGGGACAACAATTTGCTTGGGAAGTTTGAGCTTTCTGGTATTCCTCCGGCTCCTCGTGGTGTTCCTCAAATCAATGTCTGCTTTGACATTGATGCCAATGGTATTTTGAATGTCTCCGTCGAGGATAAGACAACTGGACAGAAGAACAAGATCACCATTACTAATGATAAGAGTAGGTTATCCAAGGAAGAGATTGAGAAGATGGTACAAGAAGCGGAGAAATACAAGTCCGAGGATGAGGATCACAAGAAGAAAGTCGAGGCCAAGAATGCCCTTGAAAATTACGCTTATAACATGAGGAACACTATCAAGGATGGGAAGATCAGTTCCAAGCTTCCACCTGCCGATAAAAAGAAGATCGAGGATACGATTGAGCAGGCAATCCAGTGGCTTGATGGAAACCAATTAGCTGAGGCAGATGAGTTTGAGGACAAGATGAAGGAGTTGGAAAGCATTTGCAATCCCATCATTGCCAAGATGTACCAGGGAGCTGGTGGTGATATGGGTGCTGGAACCATGGATGATGATGGTCCTTCGGTTGGTGCTGGACCAAAGATCGAGGAGGTTGATTAAGCTGGAAATGACTTTTAGGTTATCATGTTATGAGTCCTGGATTTTGTTATATTACCTACTCCTCTCCTTCAAAAAGAGTGTGTGTAGTAATCATCTGTTCCTGGTGTCTTAAACAATCAGATATGCTTGAATAAATCATTTGCTCCTTTGTTTTCAGCTTTCACTTCTACTGCATTTCTTTTTCCTTTTAAGTTGTTGCAACTCTTATGTTTTCACTTTCATTGCATATCATTTTTAATTGTTGCATTTCTTTTCCTTTTGCAACTCTAATCAAGCTCATCAAACCACCAAAAGATTGGGGGGAAAACCCAGCAATCTTTGACTTATCAATAAATATCCTTAAAGAATCAATATATTCTCTTCCCTTATCCACTAGGAGAGTTTTCTTGGTTTCAGTCCCAGAAAAAAAAAACAGCTTGGAATCTCACCAAATCAAACTCAATGTTTGAGAAAATAGCAAATCAAAGAAACCAAACAATATTTGACGTCTGATTAGTTATTAAAGAAACCATCATTGATGGATGTGACCCAAAAATCATATAGTTGGCCCTGTTTTACTTGCCTTGTATACAAAGAACCCTATGAAGGGTGAAAACTAGAAGTATTAATCGAAGATATGAAAGGAAAAACAAAATTTGGTGTTTGGGTAATTGGTTTATGGCCCTTTTGTTAAGGGAAGAGCCAGCTTTTGGTCGATGTGGGTCTTTACATAGGGATTGATCGAATAAATTAAAGGGCCCGATCCATTTCATGGTCAATGCTTAATCCAAAATCTTGTTTGACATAGAACATCAAATATGAAAATTCCATTGGCTTTTTATTCTTGAAAGGATATGGTAATGTCCATGTGCGTGGGATAGTTTATATGAATCCAATCCCTTCCACAATTTTCCTTTTAAAGAAGATTGATTTGTGGGGTGATACACAATGCAGTGAATGAGATTAATGATGGTTCATATGGTGACGTTGAAAGTTATATAGATAAATTTTGAAGGATTTGAAAATGAATGGAAGGTTTAATAGTAGATTTGATGAAGTTATAAGATATTGAAATATGAGGCCCTGTTTCACATTTCATCAAATAAAAGTTAACACAGGTTGATCACTAATCAAATATGATCAATTTCATAAAATAGAAAAACACAGCTAGATTTCCATGGATGACGGGTGTATTATTCTTTGGCCATTGTCTTGTAATCCAGTTAAGGCTTACGTGGAGGCTACGGCAGGAGCTGAGGAATCATCCATTCACAATACCTATTTTTCTATGATTTTCTTTTCAAAAACCTTTTGGCTGTCCATGTGAGCTGCTTATTGCCATTTTTCCACACACTTCAAAGCTAATAAAGCTTTTGTACAAAATCATTTGCCCATACCCCCAATCATATAACTTTTATTTGCTTTTTATTCCTTTGTTTTTAACCGTTACAATCTGTATTTTCCTTCCATACTGTGTGTTTCCACTGGCTATAGTCGATACTGTTTGTTTGCCGAGAAATTTTGGATTTGTAAGGTAATTTCCCTTCCCCTACTGCTTTACCGCAAGGAATCTTAGCCCGTGAAATTTCGATGTCCCATTGTTGTTTCTAGGTAACTTCAAATGAATGCACTGGCATGATTTAAAGGTCTTTCTTTTCCTTACATTTTCTCTATATATGGTGCAGAGCTGAGAGGGAGGAATTCTAGTGGAGGTTGCAAAACCAAGATTACATTTTCCAGGAGATATGAAGTGAATTTCCAAGCAAAGATGAAATCTTTCAGTGGATTGGGGATTGTTTTAAGTTTAGTTTTTGGTTGTCTTGTATTGGCTCTTGTTGCAGAGCTTTACTATTTGCTTTGGTGGAAGAAGAGATTTGCTAACTCTGAGGTTGAGTACGATTACAGCAGCCACGCACAGGAGCTTGTTCAACTCTTCTGCTGGAAGAAACCATCAGCTTCTTTACATGCATCCACCATCACCAACAGCAACCAAGATACCAATGGTGTGGAGCCAGACATCGAACTTGGGCCGACCAAGGGTTTGCTGCTAAAGGGTTTTCGAGAAGAGGGTGTTGAATTGGAGCTGATGAGGCTCCACAATCTGGCTGGTCCACCTAGATTCCTCTTCACCATCAAAGAGGAAACGAAGGAAGATTTGGAGTCTGAAGATAAAGGGTCAAGAAGAAGGAACTTGAATGATGTTATGCTGCCTGTCGACACTCCTTTTCATAGTCCTTCGTCTTCTCCACCATTGAAGTCACCTTTGGGTTCTTATTATCAGCCTCAAGGATTCAATCCTCTCTTTGAATCTTCGACCGATGCCGAGTTAAACAAGCTGAGATCTTCACCTCCTCCGAAATTCAAGTTTTTGAGGGATGCAGAAGTGAAACTTTTAAGAAGGTTGACGTTAGAAGCTGAGAAAATGGTACAAAGTAGAAGGGACAATGCAACAGAAGGGACGATAGTGGAAGGGTCTTTCCTTAAATTCATCGTTGGTAAGAACAGGGAACCTCTCCAGTATTTACAACAGTATCCTTCAAATTCTTCTCGGGTGCTGCCATTGTCTTCTTCTCCTACAACATTCAGACCACCAGACAAGAAAGACAGTGTGCATAAGATCCCTGTTAGATGAGTTTTTTTTTCTTTTCAATTTATTCTTTTACCCTACCAATTCATCTTAAATTAAGCCAAATTGAAAAATTCTAAGATTGATGTTTAGGGTGTTGGCTTGGTTAGTTCAAAGTGTTGCCCCGTCTTCCATGTCCCCTGAGTCTCACTTAAACTACCTTCCCATCGTCTTCTCTGTATTTTCACGAGCTAATGGTATGTCGAAATGGTGTACAGCTAATCTTTTTTTGTTTTGCCCTAATTCAAACAGTTGGAACTCTGTTTGACTATACAGTTTGTCTTTTTGTTAATAAAAAAGGCAGCAAACAAGCATGGTGTATAATACTAAAGCTATCCCACTATCCTAAACCATCACTCCTGCCCAATGAATGATTAGCACGAATTTAATCATTGTATTAATTAAAACTGATTAAAAAAATATGTGGTTGGAATGTTTGCTTGCCTTTTTAGAATGCGTTCATGGAATGTAAGATTATTAATGAAAATATAATTATCGGTGGGAATAAAATTATTGGGAATGTTGTCTTTTGTGTTTGATTCGCTTAGAGCAGGAATGTAAGATTACAATGTTTGATTAAAAGAATAAAAGATTATTGAAATGTATATTTTACCAAATTGTTCTTATTATATATTTATTTTTTTAACAAGTTAAATTTTACTATAATATTACTATAATTAATTTATATATTTTCTTTAAAAAATTTAAATTCATAAAATTTATATAATTTTTTTTACAAAATTGAAAAAGATAAATAAGTTTAATGAAAGGGTAAAATTTTATTTTAACCCCTTAACTTCATATAAAATTTTAATTATGGATTTTTTTTGTAAATCTAAAATAGTTTAAGGATAAATTTGTAATTTAATCTTCGTAGAATTTTTATTATTCACCTTCAGAAGAATGATATTTTTTGAAAAAAAATTAAAGGTATTTTAGTCCAAAACGTCAATAATCCAACAATACCTAAGGAAAGGGGATAATCATATTCCCGATAATATACTTCAAAAATATCACTATTGAGAATAAAAGATTACCGAATAATAAAATTACTAACCAACCAAATGAGAGAATGACATTCTATTTCTCTGGTCTATGACGAGAACCAAATATACCCTTAACGAAGGAGATCTAATAAATCAACAAAAACTACCCCCACCTTGACTAAGATGTGTGTTTTTCAAAATTCGAATCCTTACATATCAATGGCAACCTCAGCTGCAACGTACAGTATTTGAATTGGTATAAAGTGAAGAGATAGAAGGATTTCAAGCAATAGGTGGTGAGACCAAAGCAGTGAAACCAGACACAGTTTCATGTGAGAAGCAGACAAATACTTGGAAGAGTGATCCAAGTGCTTTTTAGGTCAATTTCTGTTGGCTTTCGTTCCCTTGAATGACTTGTTTTGTTTTGTGGGTCTTCACTGCAATCTGGAATTGGATATCTATGATCAGGTTTTGCTCATTTCCCCAAACCAGCTCGGTTCGTTGATTCAAGCTTCTACGCTATCTGATGTCTGTATTTTCACAAGCTGAGATGATGTTAGCTTTGGCTGTTCAATCATCAAAGCTAAATTGGCTGTCGCAATCTCATTACCTCTTGACCACAAATCAAAGTTAAGACAACTATCAAAATTGTCACTGTGTTCAATCTAGGATTTTATTTGTGTTCAACCACCTCTCCTTTTATGTTTTCACCGAGAAAAATTCAAATAGTTAAATATAAGTGGTTTCAGCATCAAAATCTATGCTGTTATATCAGCCCATCCATCAACTATGGTATAAGTGGGGATGGGCATAGGTGTGTTGGGTCGGGTTTTTGGTCCACTCGATCCGAGAACAAGAAATTTTTCACCCGATATCTGACCGAAACAAGATTTCACCCGACCCGATATATAACTTAAAAACTCGACTCGATCCGAAATAATAAAAAATATTATTTTTTATTCAATAAAAATAATGACTTAATTGGGAAAAAAAAATATAGAGAGTGATGTTATTGTAATTATTCTTAAATATATAAAGTAAAATTATTTTTTCGGGTCGGATATTTTTCACCATAAACTCGAATCCAACCCGACCCGAATCCATTTAAAAAACCCGACCCGATCGGGTCGGAACCCGTCGGGTTCGGTCCCATGCCCATCCGTATAAGGGATAGAAAAAGCCGTTCTCATTGTTACAGCTACACTAATAGTTTTAGGAATTCTGCAAATAAAAAGGAGAAAATGTTCAGATCCGTAAAAAAATCCTAAGGATTTCATAGGGATCCAATTTTATGCGAAAGATGAATTACCTCTTAAATTGTAACAGGGATACATTATGTAACTATAAGATGCGTTTCCATGAATCCAATTTGACAGAGATACCAAACTTAGTACCACTGGTTATATCTAAGAACCTACATCAAAAGCACACCTCATGCATAAACAACAATTGAATCCGTAAAAGCAGATATACAAAGAAGAAAACATACTCGTTTGTTGACTGCTTAATGAATGTGTTTAGTTGTTCCATTGCCTAGGAAGACATTCACTGTATTGAAAAGTTAAAAAAAAGTTTTCATTAACCAAAAAAATAAGGTTCACCAAAGACAACACAATCTCAACATGTCAATTCAAAGGGTGAAGAAAAATAAAACCAAAAACCTTCCCTTAATTATGTGCTTCATCTTCCACCAAAACCTAACAACTATCAATATTCTCCCTATCTATGTTGATGTGAATCCTTCGAACTTGGATATAATCATCAAAATAGTTGGCAAAAATTGAGAAAGAGCTTCAATGCAATACTAGGTAGGAATCCTTGGATAATTGATTTTAATAAAAAGGTTTCAGAGAGAGAAAAATTCCAAATTTTATGATTATAATATGGAAATCTAAATAACGACTCAAGATTATGAAATTAAAATGAAACATTTTAATTATGGTTTAATTTTATAAGAAGTTAAGCGTTTTAGACTAAATTTGTAGAATTCAAAGTATTTCTTTATAATTAAACGGACGTTAGATTCGTGTTAAAGAGAACAAAGAGAAATAAATTGAAAATTTTGAGTCCCAAGAATAGTCAATGATGACCAACAATGACCGACAATGGTGATTAGTGACAGTTGACAACATGAAATTTTGATCAGATTTATAGGTTAAATTGATATTTAATCTAAAGTTAAGTGTCAAATTTGATATTTTATCTAAAGTTTAAGGGTCAAATTAATATTTTATCTAAAATCTAAGGGTTAGATTAAAAAAAAGTCTTTTTCATTAACACACCACATCGTCAAATTGATATTATAATATAAGTGACTAAAACGTTATTTTTTTTAAAAATTCAGTGACCAAAAGTGTCACTTATGAAATAAAAGTGACCATATTTTAATATTTTACCCTGGTATATATATATATATATATATATATATATAATTAATAAATTATTTTTCAAAATGAAAATAATATAGTCATCCTTTCTTAATGTAAGTACGTAACTAAACATCCCAACTATATTCAAATACTTTCCTTTTTATTAATTTTCTTGAACCAAACTCGTTAAAAATTGAGGACAAGCCCACAAGGTAATAGTCCTGCGCTATACAAGCTGAAATAAATGACCCGAGTACTTTATTTTTGATTTCGACCCGACCCACTTTCATACTTGCATTAAACTTGAAAAGAAAGAAAATTGCCATGAAGGCCGGGGACGATCGTTCCGTTCGTCTCTGAAACTTATGTCCCGTTTTTTTTTTGGATAAGTAAATTTTGTTATTCAAAGAAGGTCACAATACAAAGCACCCCAAACAAGGATCAAGTCAAGCTATTTACAACAAAAGAATGTTTATCCTATACCACAATTGGTACTAAGTTGCATATTAACAAAATCAAGTCTGTTAATAACTCTATTCCTAAGTTGAGTACTAACAATCTCCTTAATGGAATAAAGCAAATCATCAATGGTTCTAACTCGTCATTGGAATAAACGTCTATTTCTTTCTTCCCAAACATAGTAAATGAAAGAATACCAATCAATCTTCAAGATGGTTGTAAGGAGAGATTTTCCTTTCCAAGTCGAAGACGCCCAAGCAAGATTAGAATCCCAAGACATATGAGGCTTGTCCAAGAGAGAAAGATTTAGAATTTCATTCCAAAGAGCATCAACCATAGCACAATCTGCAAACAAGTGATTTCTCGTTTCAAGGGCATCATTGCATAAAATGCAAGAGCCTACAGTCGTAATTCTCATACGAATAAGTCTTTCTCTGGTAGGAAGCCGATCCAAGACTGCAAGCCAAGTAATGATGCTGAATTTGGGAATATGAAGGGGAAACCCGACAAGTTTGTGCCAAAAAAACATTTTCATGCTTGATAGGTGTCGAAACGTTACGTATTTTCTGTATGATTCTCTTGATGGTGGAATAATTCTCGATAGTGCACCCTGGGACTCCGCTATGATTTTCGCAATGAGCGTTCTCATCATACTACCTGAGGTACGGGGCTTCATGGACACCACGTGTGCATCAAATTACTGTTGGTAAAGCTCCTTATATGTCATAGGATCGGAATGTTCTCATTTTTGATGAGACATGTGAATGTAATGAAAAAAGGGATTCATAATGCGAATGTAAAGAAAAAATGCACAATATGTCTGAATGTATGATGCATGAAATGTTCGAGGCATTGATCCGAAAAATGTGCCTATTATTCTGAATAATCCTTATTGGGGACAAAAATGTTACGTCTGAAGAGACAAAAAACTTTTTTGATGGTATAGATCATGCACAGCCTCTGGAAAGTTGATTCGTCTTCCGCTTTTTCACCGGTTGAATATCTTGTCGAACCATTCCAGTTCCTTTGGCTAAACTTGTGCGGGTAACGAGTTGCTTGCCCCAAAAAAGGTCTCGAATGACTGTATCTCCGGCCTTCGCTCTATGCCGAGCTCGTTCCAAACGAAAGTGCCATTGGAGCCCTCAATCCAAAGTTTGTCGACCTGTTCTTGGAATTAATCAATAATGGTCTCCGGCTTAGCTAGGGTTTCACCATCTTATTCTCGTAATTTTCGAAAGGACTCTCCGGGTCAGTAACCATTTCCTCGTCTTGCCCCTACAACTTTTGCCTCTGAGTATTCTTTGATCACGGTTGGACTTCTGAGCTTTTTATCTCTTTTTATTATAACCCCTTTGTCCATTAATGCAGATTATTTACGTTTAACAAACACATTTTTGGTGGATCAACA